CGTGAGGGTAGATGGTCATCATCTGAAAAGTATTGCTGTAACAAAAAAACACAACCATGAGCGTGTTATGTGGTAAATCTTGATAGGCGAGGATACTAGAATGTCACCGCATCTACAGTACCAGCAATACTCCTGATCTGAGAAGCAGAGAGCAGTATTCATAGCACTGGCGATGTTTAAGAAGTTTTCCTGGACCAAAGGCACAGGTTCAGGGTCACTATTGTTCAGTCTGCCCGCGGCTGCCGCTTTCGGCAGAACTTGCGTGCTGATGTGCAGAGTCCGTCTTCGGGCTTATTACAGACTTGGTAACATCACCACTTCAGACGGCCACATGTAGTACTTAAGACGAAAACCTGGAGGCGATACCAAACGTAGGACAAAACCTGGCATTCCTGTAGACTGTGGCCATAGACGTGAAAGTCTTATGCCCGCATTGAGCTTCTACCCGATGCGCTGATAAAAAAACGAACTCTTGCAGGAACTCACTCTAAAATCCATGAACTCAAGGAACCGTAAAACCTCAACCCCAAACCCTAAAGCCCTACAAATCCTACAGTAAACCCTAGACTAGACCCTGAACCGGAAACCCTAAACCCTAAACCCTCAACCCGGTACCCTACACCCTAAGCCCTAAACCCTAAACCCGAAACCCTAACCTGAACCTGTGCCGGGCCCCCCAAAAAGCAACCCGCAAGCGGACGGGACCTCGTGGAGGAGAGCCAGCTTGTGCTCGAAGACCTGGCAGCCGCCATCCATTTTGGTTTTAGGATTCAGGGCTTTAGGGTTTAGGGCTTTAGGGGTTTAGGGGTTTAGGGTTTAGGGGTTAGGGTTTAGGGGTTAGGGGTTTAGGATTTAGGGTTTGGGGCTTAGGGTCTAGGGTGCAGGGTTTAGGGTTTACGTGAAATAGCGCTTAAAGGCGATAGTATCTTGCGACAAGGCTTTGTCGAGTGAATAGTACCATGGCGATGCTGGCCTCGGCCAAGATCTCGGCATTGTCGTCGACAATGCAGGAGCACCCCAAGCGCCATCTAAACCCTAAACTGGCAACCCTAAACCCCAAACCCTAAGGGTCTTGCCCTGGGATCCGCCCAGAAGCCCAAGATCGCTTCCGTGAGCCCGGCAGCTGGCTCCAGATCTCCAGGCTCCTTTCTTCCTTGTTGTTGGGTTTATGGGGTTTAGGGTTTAAGGTTTAGGGTTTATAGGGTTTAGGTTTAAAGTTTGGGGGTTTAGGGTTTATAGGGGTTTATAGGGTTTAGGGGTTTAGGGGTTATAGGGTTTGGGGTTTAAAGGTTTAGGGTTTAAGGTTTATAGGGTTTAGGGGTTTGGGGGTTTAGGGTTTAGGGGTTCTAGGGTTTAAGGTTTTAAAGTTCAGGGCCCGGGAGATGAGTGAGCCAGCAAGGCATGTAGACCCGCCTTCCACTTCGAAAGAACGTAACGACTCACGGCCGACCTGAAGCACCTTTTTTGGTATAGTCCACCCATAGGACCCTAAGTAGTTCCTTTTTGGGATTACCTTCTAAAATTCTATATATCACCCTAAGGGTCCAAGTACCCATTATTTAAGGACTTTGGGGCCTTTTTGGGTACTTAAAACCATAAATGAGGACTACTTGGACCCTTAGGGTCAACCATAAAAAGGATCTACTTAGAGGCCTATGGGCAGGCAGAGCTTCCTGGCCTGCAGAACATGGCTCTGCCCTCACAGTGTCCGCCATGCTCGTGGGCCCTATTTCTAGGGCTCTGCGTGGCAACCCGCCTCAACCCTGTACCTTAAGGGTTTAGGGTTTAGGGGTTTAAGGTTTAGGGTTTATATCAGTGCCCCATATAATCATATACTCTCCCAAATATCATAACCTCGATAGCTACTATCCGCAACCAAAGTACCTCATTCTTGGCAATTCTTGGGTCCTTTGGACCCTTAGGGCGTTTCTAGGGTTGTTCTTCAGCTGCGACGGCGGCGGCTTGGCCTTCGGCTCAGGAGGGGGCGGGGTTCGGCTAGCAAGAACTACGGCTGCTGATATAAATCCTGCATTACCTTGAGAACCCTGAACTATTAAAGTCATGGTATGTTCCTTATTTTGGGTAACGCTGGAATTCTATCATCAACCGTAGCAAAACCAGAACCAGGTCGCAGGTCTGTCGAACCGGGTCCACGATCGGATCGATTGAATCCAACCCGCCCGTAGCCATCCTAGCTCCCATCAAACCTTCCCGCCTCCCACCTTCCGCTTCCCTGTTGAGTCGAGTCCAAAGCACAATGCCGACCGAAGTCTTTCGACGACATCCGGCCCGCTACTGCCAGAAACCCGAACAGTTGCTAATAGTATCCCTTAGGGTTCCTCTTGCTTTCATTTTATGATCACGTCGACGGCCCTATTCTGATTATTACTCTATAAGGGTCCAAGTACCTAACAATTATATACTCTCCCAAATGTTAACCTAGATAACTACGATGCGCAACCGAAGTACCTCATTATTGGGTCCTTAAGGACCCTTATAAGAGTTAAGCCAGTTACCCATAGGCCCCTAAGTAGTTCCTGTTTGGGATTACCTTATAGGATTCTAAATATAAACCACAAAAAGGAACTACTTAGGAGCCTATGGGTAGAGTTAAGCCAGTTAAGGCCCCTATATATAAGGAACGCCTGCAACCGAACCTCCGAAACGAAGCCGACCGACTCTCCCCATGCGGCCTTGTGCAGTTCCGTGGAACGGCTGTCGAGCTCCTGCCGCAAGAGCTCGATTGATGTAGGGGCCCGTAATAATTGGACCAGGGATTTGGGGCTGTACTATCATTATTGTCATTATGGTTGTTTTTGATACTTTTTATTGTGAATATTATTGTTATTGTTATTATTGTTATTATCATTATTAGTAATATTACTATTGTTATTATTATTGTTATTATTATTATTATGATTATTACAATTATGATTATTATTTGTATTTTATTATAAGGACCCCCCAAGAACTGCATTGGTCTAGTTAGGCTTCGATAGTCATAATTCGTTTCAACTAAGGGTACTAACCAAGGGTCCTAAGTTCTATAGATTCGAAATGCTCCTGCAGCTTCTACAAGTTCCTGTACAGTGATTCCTTTGCAGGCACTAGGAAGATTCATAGCACTGGATAGGTATTGACTCTAAGGACATGTCTGAGACCACGCGTCGGGGACGTCTTGTCGCTGAAAAAGTGTGCAATAAACGTTCAAGAATCAGAAAACATATATTGTCAAATGTCATAGCACGTAGCTCCAAAGGCACACGGATGCATACATCTAGATAACCACAAGCACGAGGACTGCATTGTGGGATGTGGGTAGCAGCTCACATGTCTGGATAAAGATTCCTCATTATCTTGTCACACCTTTGGCGAGGTCGTTGCTTGCATACCCATACGTGCGGGTTGACTGGAACGCCGGCTGTATATGGCGACAGCACTGGTGTGGCACTGAAGAAACGGCAACATATTGAACCTCGTCTCTAAACCCAAGGTCAACAAGACCCCTCTATGCGTGAGGCCTTCAACAGGCTTTATCCCCGATACAGTTAGAGCCCTGAGCCGTTGGGGTTCAGTGTTTAGGTCTACCGCGATATCAATGCGAAAAGCTAGACCCCTAAACCCCAGTCTCAAACCCCCCTACCCATAGGCCCCTAAGTAGTTCCTAACTACTTAGGGGCCTATGGGTACACCCTAACCCCAACCCCTAAACCCCTCAAGCTCTAAACAGCGACCCCCGCGCAAGGCTGATCGGTCCTCTGCCAGGGAATCGACCGTCGTCTGAAACGCCTGAGAATGCAAAAGAAAACGGCTTGAAGGCTAAGGATTTTGCAAGTCTTAAGTTTAGGATTTAACTTGAGGTTCTTGGTAGGATCTTCGGGTTATAAGGAGTTTAGAATTTTCAGAGGGTTTCCAGGGTTTATAGGGTTTGCTAAGGATTTACACGTCGAGCTCGAGTTCTAAAGACAACACTAAGCCTTTGAAGGGTTAGAGGGGTTTAGGGTTTAGGGATTTAGGGTTTAGGGCTTAGGGTTTAGGTTTTTAATCCGAATCACAAGGAACTACAGCACACTCTTCCGAACCAACACACTGACACATGAAAGCTAAAAAGTGGTTGCAAACCTTTCGCGTTGCAAACATTGTGGATCTCGCGATGTTGCAGGAACAAGCGGTTAAGAAAAAAACCGCTTGGCAGCCGTGGATGGCAAACCTTTCGTGTTGTTGTCAACGCTGCTTACAGAAAGTAACTGGGAGTCGGTGCCGTGCTGTGCTGTGCTGCTAGTGTTGTTGTCATTATTGCTGTTGGGGCAGTTCTAGTAGTTTGTCACCCTCAAACCCTACACCCCAAACTAAACCCCAAACCTTAAACCCTACAAACCCTAAACACCCTGAACCCAAAACTTATAAACCCTAACCGTGAGCTCGGGGCGTAAGCGCCCACATCCTTAAGCTCTTCCTTAACTCCGAGGTCAGCCGCTCAGCCGAACCGAAACATCCCCAAACTCTAAACTCCACCTGAACCCTAATAAAGAACCTACCTTTTCAGGGTTCCTTAATATGATTACCTATAGTCTCCATTGTAGTTCCTTTTTGGGGGAGTTACCTTGTAAGTTACTAATTTTATAACTGGTTGACTCTAGGTAACCCCTAAACCCCTAAACCCCTAAACCCTGAAAGGGCCCCTGAGCCTTGTGGAGGCGTTGGATCTCGGTCGGCTGCGCCAGCTGCTGCCAGAGATCCGCCCTTGGCTTCGGGTTTTCCGTAAGCTACCAAAAACTATTGGGGACCTCGAAGATAGGGATGCCAGAATTTCCTGAAAATCCCGAGTGTTTAATCCCTATAACGCCTAAACCCTAGACAAAGTGGGCTTTGTTTTGTTGGGGTTTAGATAGGCTTTGTTAGTCTGGAATCTTTCTTGTTCCGGTCGTCTTAGCTATGCTTTAACCGTTTTGGCGTCTTGATTTGGCATGCTTGGTTTCTTTTGAACCGTACTTTGGGGTTTAGCTGAGTGAGCGATGTCGGCCACGTCCTATGCTGACATTTTGCAACTAATGAAAACAGATGACGGTCGAGCTCTTGAAGAAGCACCAGGGTCTGATTCCACTGGACAGAACTTGCACATGCATTGATTGCAGAAGACAGCGTGCTTGCATCTGCAGGCACGCTGTGCGTCTGCATCATTTGGAGAACATCTAAAGCTGCTTTCCAATGCCCCGACCTACTACAGGCTCGGAGCGCCGCACTAGAGGCGATCGTGTTGGGCTGCAGCCACTTTCGAAGCGAATCGTTCAGAATTGCAAGGGACTCTTGCCATCTTTGGGCCTTCTCACAGGAACTGATCACGGAAGCGTAGCTGATCAAGTTAGCTTCCAGATGTCGCAGCTCCATTTCTTTCAAGATATGCAGCGCTTCAACCCACCGTCCAGACTGCTCACATGCACTGATGGTCGCACTGAAGGTCACGACGGTCAGGTCGACAACTGTCTCAGCAATCTTGAGCAGATGGATAGCTGCCTGCCACTGTGACACACGCTCGCAGGCTGTGATTGAAGCATTGAAGGCGATAACACCGAGCTGTATGTCCGTCTCTTGGAGTGTGCGCAGCAATGCGACGGCTTGCTGCCACTCCATGCCGTTCGCGCACGCACTGATAGCTGCGTCATAAGTGACCACATCTGTCTGCAACAGTCTTGCGTGAACATCACTCAGTGTTTGAATGGCAGATTGCCACTTTGCCGCGCTGCCGCATGCACTAACCGCTGCGTTCAGCACGATGATGTTTGCTTTTATCCGTCGGTGCCCAACCTCTTCCAGCAAGGATAAGGCCCTTTGCCATTGACTTGCCTTTTCGACAGAACTCATGGCCGCCGCATACGTTACGACATCGGGATTCAACACTCGGCCTCGTGCCTCTACAAACTGCTGCAAGGCCTGCCGCCATTCACCTGGTTGGCCGTTTGAAGCCTCTGAAAAACATTAGTAAATAGGGTCCTCTGAAGCCCAATAAGGGAAAAATATAAAATATCCCAAAGGCCTACCTAGTCACTAGCCGCTCCACAGGAACTGATGATGGCATTTACCACGACGACGCTTGGCTTCAGCATGTGATCTTCCAGATCCTTCAGAAGGGCCATGGCCGTCTGCCAGTGTGCCGACTTTTCACAAGCACTGATGGCCGCACCTGAATGCTGATGGAGGGATAGGGGCTTAGGGATTAGGATACTAAAAGAGTTTGGGGTTCAGGGTTCCTTAAAGGAACCCTTAAGGACCCCAAAGTAACCCTTGAAGGAACCCTTGAAAGGAACCCATAAGGGCTGCACAGTATGTGATGACGTCCACTTCCATGGAGCTCAACTGGACGTGTCCTTACTTGCCCAGTATTCTGGGGAACTAAATGTATAATGTAAACGGATTATAGTAACCACCGAAAAAGGTCAAAGGTACTTGCTGTACGACTATAAGGTTACTCTGATTCCAAAAACCCTCAAACCTAAAACCGAACATGCTAGCACATTAAGTGTCGTAGCATCGCCAAAGCCTGCGACCACTGAGTAGCTTTCTCACAGGCGCTGATCACAGCACTGCAGCTGATGATGTCGGCCTACATTCCACTAAGGGTGCACACGGGTTCCTTTACGGCTTTCGTTTACATGTTCCGAGAAGGGTGTAACATAGGGTCTTAGGGGCATCTACCTATATAGTATTCACCTAGTTTCAATGGATTCCGTATACAGGTACTTTAGCACTTGTGGACAAAGTTTGTAGACTAACAGGGTGCCTAGACCATGAGGGTTTGTGAAATCAGGAACAAGTCGTCCGAACCTATGGTGACAATCTTCGATAAGTTTCAACGGAACATTGCCAGGGGAAGTCTCAATTTGGGGGATGTGAGGGCTTACTAGTGTCAGGGCCTTATTTTTTGGTAACTTCTTTGGTAAGTCAACTCCAATCCTACCTGGACCCCAAAAAACCTACTATTTTTAAAGGACATGTATAAGGAAATCATTATAAGGAACCCTGAAGAGGTAGGTTCTTTAGTTTGGGGTTTAGGTATATCAGGATTTGCATGCCAGTTCACAGCCCTTTAAAATTTGAGATGGTATCAGCCTGCAAAGAGCTTTCCCCCGCAAGGCACCTCCGCTGCACGGAATATCGAGGCCGAAAAAAACCAAGTTTGGTTTTGGGCTGCTTCATATTATGACTACAAAAAGGAATCCCAAAATAGGATTGGTAGCCACCCTAAACTCTAAACCCTAAACCCTAAACCCCTAAACCCTAAACCCCTAAGCCGTATAGGAGTGTGGCAGGCTTCGAGTTACGGCAGACGATGCAACTTGTCTGTCCAGTGCAGAGCCCATCACATCTCAGGTATACCCGAGCTTAACCCCAAATAACCTACCTTTTTAAGGACTTATAAGAANNGGAACCCCAAAAAGGTAGGTTCTTTTAGGTATAATTTAGGAAATCCTTATTATATACTCCAGAAGCGCCCCATAAAGACCCACAGTCGGAAAACGAAGACCCAAAGTCGCCCTCAAAAGTGCGGCTGGTGGCACAGTAAGCTCACGGCTTGCTCCCAGCGACCGGCTTTCTCGCAGGCACTGATGGCGGTGTTGAAGCTAATGAGGTCCCCGCGCAGGCCAACACCACTCTCCATCCTGATCTGGTACACTTCCCGAAAAGCCCGTAACCCTAGACACCACTTCAATCAGCGTTAGGGGTCCATGTGCCCAAATAGTATTTTCTTCGGCCTGAAAGTAATCAGCATATACGTATTATAAACTCAAACCATATACTAGCTCGCCGAGGTTTTTGGGTCTACAGGCCCAGGGCGGAACGCAGGGCTTGGCTTTTGGGTTGGCTAAAGAGTAATCACTGGCCGATTCCGGTGTAAAATCCGGCGACCCCAGTCTCAACTGAACTAAAGCCGAGGCTAGCTACACCCCAGAAGCCTGAACTCCGAAAGGTTAGGGAAAGGGTTTAGGGT